CAAAATTCCGTACCTAATCAAAGACTCAACAAGGGTTTTGTATATAACAGTTAACATTTGTCTGCTCAGAACCTGCTTAAGCAGGTAAAATTTACGAATTAATCCACGAATTCTATTTGATAGGTACTCAATATGTGGAAGCCACTTCAGAAACTGGTCAATTATTATGCCAAGATACTTTGTATGGGAAACTTCTTCAACTTTTTGATTATTGACTGTAATATTTGAGAAAGTAGGTCGGTTAGCACTTGTTAGAGAAAAAGCAATATAATTTGTTTTCTTCAAATTTAGAGATAATTTAAAACTTTCCAACCAATTTTTTGTAATCTTTAAACCCTGTATCATTTTATCTTTAACATCTTCCCAAGTATTGCCATTAAAAAGCAGTACAGTATCATCGGCGTATGATATTATAGATCCATTAACATTTAAAGAAAGTAGACCATTAATGTATGTGACAAACAAAACTGGACCAAGCACTGTTCCTTGTGGCACTCCCATCTTGATGACCCTTTCAACACTCAAAATATTATTAATTTTTACTATTTGAGATCTCTCATGAAGGTAGCTTTGAAACAATTTCCACACTGTTCCCCTGACTCCATATTGCCATAAGACATCTAGGAGTTTATCATGGGAAACAGTGTCGAATGCCTTGGCCAGGTCAATGAAAATGGCAGCACATTTTTTACCATTGTTCAAATGGCTGGTAATCTCCGATGTTAGTCTATGCATAGCATCTTCAGTACTACATCCCTGCAAAAAACCGTACTGGTTTCCTGACAGTATATTGTTAATTCTGAAAAACTCAACAAGTCTGTCCTTAACACACTTTTCAAACAGTTTGGCAAAGCCACTCACCAAACTTATAGGCCTATAGTTCTCTATCAGTGATTTTGAACCGCTCTTATGAACAGGTGTGACAACTGATGCTTTATAGTGGGAAGGCACAATTCCCGTTGCAAAACTTCTGTTAATTATATGTAACAACGGTTTCAAAATTTCAATATGTGTTTGTTTTATTAATTTAGAACTTACTCTGTCCAAACCTGGAGCACTTGTACTCTTTAACGACGAGATATGTTTGATTAACTCATTTTCACATACTGGCGAAAGAAACATAGAATTTTTTAAACTAAAATCTGCTTTAATTGAAAATTTAGGTTTTGGAATTGTTTCTGCCATTTTTTCACCAACATTAATAAAATATTCGTTACAGTGATTGGCTATGTCTAAATCATTTTTCAGTTCAATACCAGCATTATCAGTTATTTTAATATTATTTATTTTGTCATTTGTATTTTCATATGTAACATCTTTGATTATTTCATATATTTTTTTGATGTTATTTTTATTGTTATTAATCTGAGTTTTGTAATATTCATTTTTTTGTTTATCAATCAGTTTATTTAATTGGTTTCGATATCTTTTGTATTCGTTTTCCAGATCAGGATCATAATTTCGCAGTAACTTTCTTTTAAGCTTATCTCGGTGTTTAATGGAGGTGATTATTCCATTGGTTATACATTTTTTTATACTGTTTTACTTTTTTGCTGTGTTGAGTAGTTGCTTGTATAATCAAGTCTTTGTAAGTTGAAATAAATTTTGAATTTGACGACTCAGAGTCATCAAGAACCAAGGACCAATCCTGAGCTCTTAGAGATGCTATAAACTTGCACAGGTCAAATGAACTGGTTTTTATTACTTCATTATTGTTATAGATTTTAGCATCCCTTGAGACCACATTAAGCATGGTAGGTCCATGGTCCGTCATGTGAGAGTCTAAAATGTATGTTTCTAAGGTTAGGCAATTGAGCTTTAGCCTGCTGTTAACAAAAATATGATCAAGACAAGTATTACTATCAAATCTGGTCACATTATTTATGTACGACTCGAATCCCAACTGAGACATCATTGACAAATAGTTATACACCTCATTATTCCCTACATCTAACAAGTCCATGTTTATGTCACCCAAAAAAAATTCAAAATTGTTATCACAATAACTAGTTATGTTTCCCAGACAAGTTTGAGCATCTTCAATAAAATCCGTCTTAGATATGGATGGCGGTTTATATACCGCAGTTATACCAATCTTGAAACCATTTAAAACACATGTTAATCTGCTTACAGTAGCTAAAGAGATTGGTAGCCTGATAACTTGAAATTTGACATTATCAATATGATTCTTTACTAAAATTATAATACCGTCATTTTTGTTATAATCAGCATAATTGTAAAACATTTGATAACCAGGTATATTACATTGATCTATTGAGGAGATTTAAAATGATTCACTTAAGACAATAATGTCATTATAATCCAATTCAAAAGTTTTCAAGAGCTGTATCAAATTATCAATATTTTTTACCATACTTCGAATGTTAGTATGCAATAAATTAAGAACAATATTATTTATTTTTACTTTCTTTCGTAAACCATCACTATCCACTAAAATTGTTTTTTTATTAGTTTCAGCTTGCATGCCTTCTAAAAGTTCATCTTGCACTAATTGTACCATTATGGAAAGTCATAATTAGTTTTGCTTCTTATTAGGTCTATGTGGTACTTAGTGGAAGGACATTCTGGGTTTGATGCTGCATGATTTGTGTCATACTGTAATTTAAATTTGCTATTTGCATTACAGCAGTTTTTACATTTCTTTATTTGTTTTGTACATTCTTTACTATCATGGCGTTCAGCACAGTACTCACAGGTGACATTATTCTCGCAATTGCCACTTTTGTGAAAATATTCTTGGCATTTGAAACATCTACTTACACTTACATTCTCATATACACTGTATCTTTCCCATCCAATAGAGACTTTCTTCTGGTTCAATATTTTCCAATATAATTTTGGTGAGCATTCAAAAAATATAGTTGATGTTACCTTCTTGATGAAATTTATTGTTAACTCCTCGCCATCTTCTATCCATTCATTTTGCTATCTTATTGTATGCTCCAATTCATTTTGATCCAGATCACCGTTGTAACCCACAATTTTCATTCTGGGTGAATTCAATTTGGGTAGCTCAATATCATAACCGCCCCCAAGGCTATTTTCTGCGGCTTGTTTTAACTTTTCAATATCATTCTTCTCTGTGCACTTGACAACAACACACCCCCGTTTTGTTTAATGAAATTGAAATGTCAAAAAGTGACAAATGAGGTGTCATTGTACTCGTAATGTAGTTTTCTATTAAAATGAGGAAAAATATACCTAGCGTCTCATTTAAAATAAGAAAGTTAGGGTCACTTCCGGTCAAACCGGAAGTGATAGTAAAAAATCAAATACGTCAAATAATGCACATCCGGGTCATAAATAAACACACCAAATTTCATTTGTTTATCTGGAAAAATAAAAAAGTTATAGGGGTGAGCGGGTTTTGAAAAACACCCGGTATAGGAGTGAGGTGGGAAACAACCTGTTCTTTTTAAATATGATCGAGAATATGATCTTCAGGATATAATTCTGTATGGTGTTCAGAGTTTCTAGTGCATTATTGTAGAGTCCACCCCAGACCTAACTAATCAGTTTTAAGCATACAGGGTGCATCACAAAAGTGTAGCAGAGCAAAGACATATTCTTTTAAATGAAACACCATGTATATTAGGCGCTTATCAGTTAGTCCCCTTCAACCTGATTTCAACGATATAGCAGCAACAGACCTTATAGATCACCCTGTACTAAGGTTGTTTGAGAGAGATAGGTTGCCTGGGTTGGAACTCTGTAACGCATAGAGATCGTTATTCCTATCGCTATGGCACTTGCTTTCTTCTTCTCTCTTCTCGAAATCAATAGAGAGGGGACGTCAATAGAGATAGAGAAAATATCTCTATTCATTACAGAGTCGCAGCCCTGATAGCTTTATGAAGTCATCTGGGGTGCCTCATCAACTTGCTAATCAACAGAATGCAAATCTTCATAAGACACCCTAGATGCGTCATCAAGTTACCCATTACCAGACAATCTATTAACCTCAGGAGCCTTGACCCTGTACTAATGAGAAATTTGGCATTCCTTCTGGTCCTGGCATTTTTATTGATTTTTGGGACTTTGACGTCATAGTCTGTGTCCACTTTTTCGCAGCAGTTTAAAAATTCAAATTTCAAAAAAAAAAAAACAAAGATGTTAGGTATTGAAATGACAAACACAATAATTTAAAAAAAAAAATGTGAAAGTGGCCTTGTTTGACTGCATTGTGATAAGGTGTGTCCCAGGATTCTAGGAATAATAAAGAAGGTATTTAAGGTCTGAAGAAACTGCAGGGTTGGCAGGTACAGGTTTTTTTGAACCTAGGTTTTTTAGGTTTTTTAAAAAAACCTACTTCTTAAAATAAGTGCATTTCAGGTTTTTTAGGTTATTTTGTTTTACAAAGTGTAATTTCAGTAGTAATTTTTTTCCAGTATGCTATACCTATATTTTAATTCTCGGTTTAGCTATTATTTGGTTAAAAATTTAATTATTTACATAATAATTCATAGGTATGGTACATACTTACATCACCAATATGTGTTACAATAATTACATACTAAAAAAACCTAAAAAACCTCAAAAAACCTAAAAAACCTAAAAACCTGAAATTATTTTTCCTAATTCGTAGGTTTTTTCCAACCCTGGAAGAAAGTGAACAGGTAGAAAATTAGTCAAACCAATTATTGACCATAAGGAAGAACAGATTTTGTATCACCTAATAAAAATGAAATAAATGGAAATATATAGTTGACTAAGTGTCTCTATTTAGGCCGAGATACTTAATTACAATTAGAATTTTGCAAGAAATGTTTTAGAAAAGTTGATAAATCTTGCATAGGAAAGTTTAGTCTCAAGGTGTCAGGGACAAAAACGACCCTAAACTAGAGTGCCGTAATTTATTTCAGGGCTCAGGGCTGTTTTTGTCTCATACACTTCTCTAATGTGTCCCAAAATAAGTGATTATAACTACAGAAATCGAATAAAATATGTTTTTAGGTGCCACATCACAAATTCTTTGTACTCACCCTCTTGCCAGTTCCAAACTCTTGATCAATTTTTTGATTTTCCAAATTTCGACGTTGCGATCGGCCGAGGTTTCTTCTCCCGACATTTTTTCGCTGATTTTGCTCCTAAACTGGACCGAAAAACGTGCGGATCAGCAGCAAAATGGCGTGAAATCAAACGCTGATGAGCTATTTGTTCGAGTCACTGGGTTTGACTGTTCCCTTTTAACTGGTTTTAACTGGAAATTGACTGGTTTTTACCACATTATTTTTCCCAGGCAGTAGTTCTGAATGAATGAAACGGAACAGGAATTACCTTTTAAATTTTAATAAGAACTATATAGGGAACCTGGCGAAAGGGAAGGGAATGCAAATGAGGAAGAGAACCTTCAAAAAGACAATCCAAAATCAAAATATCCGAAACGAAAACTTTCTCATTTTTTTGTTTTGCAAGTTGGTAAGGGCATCTGTCAAATGTCAAAAACTTACAACGTGGTCACTGGTCATTTATTTTTGTTTCACTCTATTACGTGAGAAATCTGTGTGAGCCCTCTTTTCAAAACTAGTTCGGCTTGCTCACTAATGCTCACTCCGATTACCAGTAAGTACGCACTCTGACTGTCCGAATATTATTTTAAGAGTGAGTAGAGTAAATCCGCTTACGTCCATGAACTGAGTGCAACAAATGGAAAACGTCATTCTGGAACTTGGCGAAAGGTTGTCAACCTGTCAGCTGTCTGCTCGAAAAATTCAAGGTTAAAAATTAGGTTAGAAAATGGTAAATGCAAAGCCCAGCTGAAGGGCGAAATGTTTTGTGTTTTAATTTTTTGCATTCAATTATAATAAAAATAAAAATCAATTTTATTTGAAATAATTAAACGCCCAAATTCTATAGTAATTAACCGGTGCAGTTTTTAAATGAGGAGTTAAGTTGTAGTTAGTAAACTAGAAGAAAAAAAAAACAAAACAGAAGGGAGTTCCTTCCCAAAAATAATTGAATTTGTGATCTATAAACAGTTACGCCCTAGGTTAAGAAGGTAGGAGCAATCAAAAAAAAAATCTAAATATTTAATTAAAATTCTCTCTTTCAGTTAAATTTCATTAGTGAAATTTTGTAAACAAGTGTGATATTGAAATGCCTCGCAAACGCAGGGCAGCAGCAGAAATGACTTCAAATGATGGGGATAGATATGCTTCTAAACGTTCAAGAAATTCAAGGTAAAAATCTAAAGGGCCTAATGTATAGTCGCTCCTTGAGGTTCCCTCAGACCTTAAGAAAGCCTTGAACGTTTAGAATTGACATTACTAACTCGTTAAATAGTAGTAAGCATCCATTCTAAACTCACAACCTCCAAGGAACGACTATAAATTTATGTGTAAAAAGTCTGAACCTGGCCCTATTTTGATTAAAATATTAATTTATAAATAATTGAAATTATTTTTGACAATTTTGTTATTCAGTCACTCATAAATAAAGAAATAATTTAAGATCTGAATCTGCCTGACCTCATAGGTAGTCGATTTGTTCCCGACAACATTGCAGCATCCTATTTTAAAAATAGATTATGAACCACTTGCCAAAATTGAATTTTCTTTTAGGTTATAGGTAATAGATATTATTTTAAACTAAAATCACAAATTTATGGATGAAGAGGAGTACGTAATTTTATTTTCTATTTGAATAATTAATTTTTAACATTAATTAATTAAGTCCTCAATTGTGTTTTTAGCAGCCGCAGAAGTTCCAGGCACGAAGACAATTCCTTTAGCCAGAAAAGATGTATGACATGGTTCAAAGAGTATACCAGTCCGGATTGTCCGGACACTTTAGGCCCAGAGGGCATGGAAAAATTCTGCGAAGACATCGGAGTGGAACCGGAAAACGTTGTAATGTTAGTTTTAGCTTATAAAATGCAGGCCAGACGGATGGGATTCTTTACGAAAGAGGAATGGACTAAGGGTTTGAGCGAAATGCAGTGTGATTCCATACAAAAGTTACAGTATCGTTTAGATTATCTTCGTTGCCTGCTCAATGACCAGAGTACGTTTAAGGCTATTTATCGATATGCTTATGATTTTGCAAGGGTAAGTCAAAGGCAAATTGTTTAATTTTGCTGCTGGTAAAAATTAGATTTTTGTATTTTTAAGTAGAACTCATGTGAGACTTAAAAGGAAAAAGATCTCTGTTCACATTTCTTTTTCTCTTCATTTTTGCATAGTGAATCCTCAAAACAGGATTATTGATTCAACTTGGCCCGAGGGGTGGTTAACTCCTTAAAATATGTACACAGATTTCAAATCTTTATTGATTGTGTAGGATTTTGAGGATTTTGAAAATCTTCACACAATTTTGCATGGTTTCAAAAGATTTTAGATTTAAGGTACCTGTCCCAAATAAGGCCATGTTAAGAAGTTTTATTTTTTCCGAACACTATCCACCAAACCCGACAAAAATCACAAGCTTATATGTGAAGTGTTTCGCTTCTATTACTTGAATATTAACCCCAATTTATTTATTTTTACATATAAGTGGTGGTTTTTGCGTAAAACAAAGACCCTTACCATTGGCCTTATTTGGATCACTATGCTCCTAATAAGTCCACCAATAAAAAATGTTTAAAATAAATAGAATCATTTATGAAAATATTATTTTTTGATAAAAAGTACTCAAAATAGAACTTTAACGTTTGCTGCATTCTAAAAAAACAATAATTTCAAGTCCTGGGATGGTGATCCAAATAGGTCTGCATACAACTAGGACAACTGAACCGCAGCTTTTCTTGCTTGGTTAGACCCCAGGCGCTCTAAAACACATCACCTAAGTAATAATATGACACATTCTTTTAAAAAACACTGTGATGTGAGGCCAATTGAAAATTTTTCATGTGGCCTTATTAGGAACATGTTACATTGATAAAAAAAAGTCTGTAACTAGAAATCTAGCAAAGATATTATTCTGTACTTACTCTGTAGCTTTCTCAATACATAAATGTCCGTGTAAAAATTACATTCGCTCCATTTCCTTTATGAACATGTGTATAAACTAATTAAGTTCCAGCCTCAAAGTTATAATGTAACATATGAAATCTGTGGTTAGCCAATTTTCGACATATAACTAGTTGCTAGGAATCCTCACAATAATTTTTGATTTGCTTTATAGATATCTTTTTCAATAATATTGTAATTTTTGAAGATGTGATTCAATATTGAGCAATAAGGGGCACTGGCCTTATTAGGTACATGACCTTATTAGGTACATGACCTTATTTGGGTCAGGTACCTTATATGGTTTTAGGTGATTTTGGGAATTTAGGGCCTAAAGGATTTTTAGAAATTTTAACGGATTTTTGCGAATTCCAAAGGATTTTTCGAGGGTTTTTTGGAGATTTTCGAGGAGATTTCAAAGGTTTTTTTTTTTAAGAATATTGATGTTCTAATAAAATGTTGTGAGATTTTATTAGGGTTTTTCAAGATTTCAAAGATTTCAAGTAGATCTCACGAGTTTTTGACTATTTTTGACCAGCTTATACACAGATTTTGATTAATTAACCGCTCCGAGGTTTAGCTAACTTCATAAAATGTTTACATATATTTTAAATCTTTATTGATTTTATACTATTTTGAGGATTTTAAAAATCTCCACTTAATTTTACAGCAGTTCAGAATTTTGGAGCATTTTAGGGTTTTTTGAAAAGTTTTTCGAGATTCTAAAGGATTCTTAGAGATTTCAACAGATTTTTGGGGATTCCAATGAATTTTTGGGAGTTTTAGAGGAAATATTGTGGGATTTTTTTAGTTTTAATAAAATTTTATGAGGATTTTATGCGATTTCAAGAGATTTTGTGGAATCTTGTTGAATTTTTAAGGATTTTAAAGATTTTTTTGGATTTCAAGATCTTATGAGATTTTCTGGGATTTTGACCAGTTAACTGCCCCTCGACTTGGCCCTAGGTGGCAATAGTAGTTGAGTCTTCGTAGGAGCCTACACCCAATTCTAAATCAAGGGGTTTTCCACCTAACAAATAACAAAATTTGTACACTGATTAACCATAATAACTGATATTTCCATGTATTAACAGATATTTCTATGTAATACAAACAAGTAATTGCCAACTATTTCCACATAATAACAAAATATTTCCACATATTGCCAGGTATTTCCCTAGTATTATCACATATTACTAGGTATTGCTATGCTATTGACAGATTGAAACCTCTCGCCAGAGTTCTAGGTATTGACATATTATCCACAGGTATTTACATAATCAGGCCTATGATGTATCCTGTCCTGTTATTTCAACGGCTCTGTTAAGGCTCACCATCTATTTGCGTCTCTATTTTGACGTATAGAATAAACAGTGACAGATAACTTAACGTTGCTGTTAAAATAACAGAAAATGATACATCATAGGCCTGGTTATTAACGGGTTGTTACATATATTGCCTATACCATTTCCAAATCAAAGCAATACATTATCATTTATTGCATTAAATAACCTTAATTGTCAACAAACATCAGCCTTCCTATTGGTTGAATCGCTCTACCTGGACCAGTGTGCATGCACAAAGAACATTTGATAGGCTGTAATGAATAATGCCACTTGGATTTGATTCAACCATAGATATTCATAAGTATTGACGCATATTACCTGCATATTATTAACAAAACAAGTATGTATTACATAGTATTGACATGGTATTGACCTCAGTATCAACATATATTAACCAGTAATTCGTACACCGATTAACAAGGTGAAAAACCCCTCGATATAAATTAAGCAAAAATGCTCCCTCTTACATTTTAATATTTTTCTGAGAAACTACTAAAGAGAGATTTGTGGAACTTCTAGGAGAAAAAGAGGAAAGTTAGGAACTCATCATATTGAAATTTCAAACTTCTCCTGTGAAAAATAACAAAATGGGAAATTAATGAAAATCAACTTGCAAAATCTAAATTAAGCAAAAATGCTCCCTCTTACATTTTAATATTTTTCTAGGAAACTACTAAAGAGAAATTTGTGAAACTTTTAGGAAAAAAAGAGGTGTTAGGAACTCATCATATTGAAATTTCCTCGGAAATTTCAAACTTGAGGAAATTTCAAACTTCTCCTATGAAAAATAACAAAATGAATAATTAATGAAAATCAACTTGCAAAATCTAAATTAAACAAAAATGCTCCCTCTTACATTTTAATATTTTTCTAGGAAACTACTGAAGAGAAATTTGTGAAACTTTTAGGAGAAAAAGAGGAAAGTTAGGAGCTCGTTATATTGAAATTTCAAACTTCTATAAAAAATAACAAAATGGGAAATTAATGAAAATGAACTTGCAAAATGTAAATTAAGCAAAAATGCTCCCTCTTACATTTTAATATTTTTCTGAGAAACTACTAAAGAGAGATTTGTGGAACTTCTAGGAGAAAAAGAGGAAAGTTAGGAACTCATCATATTGAAATTTCAAACTTCTCCTATGAAAAATAACAAAATGGGAAATTAATGAAAATCAACTTGCAAAATCTAAATTAAACAAAAATGCACCCTCTTACATTTTAATATTTTCCTAGGAAACTACTAAAGAGAAAATTCTGAAACTTTTAGGAGAAAAAGAGGAAAGTTAGGAGCTCATCATATTAAAATTTCAAACTTTTCCAGTGAAAAATAAGAGAATGGGAAATTAATGCAAATCAACTTTCTAAATTAAGCAAACATGCACCCTCTTACATTTTAATATTTTTCTGAAAAACCTCAGGGAAAATTGTGAGACTTTTTGGGAAAAAAGAAGATAGTTAAGAGCTCATCATATTAGAATTCCAAACTTTTCCACTATTTTCTCAAAAACTATGAAAAGAACAAATGGGCATGGAATTCTCTTTTACCCTACATGCCAGATTTTTTTTTCAAACACAGAAACCAAAAAATGTCCTGCTAAAATGCATAATTTCCATGTTTTGAGGAAACTTCAAACTTTTTAGAATAAAAAGATGAAATTTTTATTTGCTCTTCTATGCAAGACAAAACATCAAGACCGATACTGAGACAGTATAAGTTTTTTAAGACTGGTACTGTCTTGGTCTTGTGGAGCCCTGCTTAGGCCTTTAAACAAGTGTATTAACCACCCCTTTGAGTAAAAATGTAAAAAAAATATTTTCCAAATTTTGCCCTGCATAAACCTAATTCAATTCACCCTCAATCGAATAATTATTCCAGGATAAAGATCAACGAAGTATGGATATGGAAACGGCCAAAGCCATGCTCCAATTGTTATTGGGCAAACAGTGGGAGCTCTTCACACAATTTAGCCAATTCCTCGACCAGTCCAAGTACAAAGTGATCAACAAAGACCAGTGGTGCAACATACTGGAATTTTCCAAAACCATTTGCGACGATCTTACCAACTACGATGTGGACGGCGCTTGGCCAGTAATGTTGGACGAATTCGTGGAATGGCTGAAAGGGGCGCGATCCAAAAGCGACATCAGTTGAGATTCGGCGAGGCGAAGTAATATAAATCACTTTGTATGTAATTTAATTTTTGTTGATGAATATATCTTACTATAATTTTAGTAACATAATTTGCTGTGACTGCATTGATGATTTTTTGCATTTTTTTTTTTTTTTGAAATTATAGTAAGGTGGATTTATTTTTTACTTCCTTTCCCCCTGCCAATCATTGAGCTCTAATAATAATTGTAGAACAATTGAAGAATTTCCACTATAATTTATTTTTAATTTACATTACACAAAAAGAAAAAATGTAGTCTTATGTTTTCATTGATTAGGTAATAATTTATTTTCATTCTAGCATAAATAATTTTCACTCAACATAAAAAAAAAAAATAATTAGAAATCAAGTACACACTACTTACTTGTTTTAAACAGTTGTAAATTTTATTTTGTTAGTAAATATATTAAAAGTAATTCCAAAAGTAAGAATATGTTTTATTTGCAATATCTGTCCGCTTTCATTTTGCTCCTGCGATCCAGCAAAGTTTCGTGAAAGGTTCCTTCATCTTTTGCTTTTTTTAATTGCTCCTTGCCATCGTCACATAGCCTGAGACGTTTGTCTTGAAACTTTTGGAACTTTTTCCTGGATAAAAACAAATTAATCCACACAAAGTAACTACAAGTCCTACTTACACATAATTTATTTCAACTTGCTTAAGATTACCCTGTTCTTCTTCAGGCACATCCTTCAAATGGTTAACCTCCTTGAATGTATGAGATCTTATGGTTAAGAAGTGATCTGAGCCAGCTTTTTTAGCTTTTGCTATTATTGAATCTTCATCATCTGCTGACATGAAACATTCATTCCAGCCTAGTAAGGCCATTTTGCCATCTTCTATCACAGGTTCCCACTGTTCCATTGGTCCAATAGCATCAGACCTACCCGTAACCATCCCATCTTTATCTACTCTAAGATACTTGTTGTAACCGGATTTAAAAGCAATTTTTCTTTCACTTATGCAAACGCCAGTTAGAATTTCTTCTGGTGATGGACCGTCGCCTTCGTCATGAGGTGCACCCAGAGTAAACAAACCTAAAAAAAATTGCTTAGTTTTGTTTGAGTAAAACTTGATTATATGAAAAAGTTACCATTGTCCAGTGCCTTGACATAAACATGTGATCCAAATTCGATAGCAACAGGTCCGGTTATGTCTTCAACTTTTGAAATTTTCCACCAACTGCCATGCTTCAATGTATCCTGGTCGATTTTGGGCTTGTCTTCTGCTTCTCGCTTGCTTTTGTGTTTGCGTTTTTTTGATCTAAATTAAAATGTGTGATAATGATTATGAAGGCAAAAAAAATTGACTTACTTATGTTTTTCTCCTTTCAATTTCAATTTTCCTGGTTTGTATTTATCGTAATCGGACATTGTAGGTGGGTGAGTTCTGGGTGGAGCGCAAAAAAAAAGAAAAATAAATTATTGTATTGGAGTATGTACTTTACAAATGAAAATTGGTGTATAATTTTTGACTCTGTGTAAGTTGCTGATGAAAAAAAGTAGATTTCATTAAGCGAACAAATAATGGAAATGAGAAATGAAGAATTCCATAATTTGGTACTCTGGAAGAAATTGACAAAGCCATTAGAAAAGCAAGTGATTTAGATGAAATTCCATATTTTATACATAACATAATGTTATGCTTTTTACCGCACAAGAATTCTTTTACATCATATTCACAACCTTGAGTTGTGTGTGTGTGATAGTCTAGAATTATTGATTTTTATCTCTGTATTTTTTTCATTCAATTTACGTCTCTCGCAAGAAATATTTTCACTGTTACATATCAGAACTTCTATTTTCGAAATCAAGGAACAGCTTTCTCATGAGAACGATTGCTCTGTATTAGTCAGTGTTATGGAAATATAAATATGGGCGACTAAGACAGAATCTTCGTTCTCATGAGAACGCTTCGAGAATAAGGACCCAAATGGCTTCTAGTACCTAGCAAAGGCGTGATGTACAAGATCTTATTCATGACCCCAAGTCCAGGTACAATAAATTTTCTTCACTTTTTCTACTATTCCAGGATTTGAATTCTCATGTTTTCTTTTTTTTTATTCGTGATTTATGAATTTTCTTAGTTTTTCTGTTCCAGGGTCTAGAATTTTCTTTATTTTTTAATTTTGTTAAGGGAAACTTTTATAAGAATGAAAATTGGATTTTTCCTCATCTTTTTGTGTAGTCATTTTGGAAAATTGACAATAAATGGCACTGATGGACGTTTTTTTTTTCTTTTGAGAAAAATGCTTGAGGGCCTTTGCAAATAGATAGAGAAAAGATTGAAATTCAGGAAAAAATGTCTCCTGCTCATCTTGATAAAAATTAAAGTCAAAAGACTGCGAAACTATTGAAGCTTCGTTGTAGAGTATTTAATTGGCTTTAATTGAACCTCAATTACACTGAAATTGGATGAAAATTAACGGAGCCGTTAGGCAAAAACTGTCTTAATGTAATTTTTGGAAAATACTTATTATATGTTTGATAAATTCAATTTTGAAGCTTCTCTACTGCAAAACTGTTGAAACCAAATTAAAATTTTAATTGGTAGGTTTGTACAGAATTTAATTGGCTTAAATTAGAGCTTAATTACATAGAAATCGGATAAAAATTAATGGAGTTGTGAGGCAAAAACCATCTCAGTGTCATTTTTGGAAAAATGGCAATGTTCGATAAATCCAATTTTGAAGCTTCGCAGGTGGAAAACTGTTGAAACCAAATCAAAATCTTAATTAATAGGTTTGTAGAGAATTTGATTGACTTTAATTAGAGTCTAATAACATTGGAATTGAATGAAAATTAATGGAGACGTGAGGCAAAAACTATCTCAGTGTCATTTTTTGAAAATTTTCAATATTCGATAAATTCAATTGTGAAGCTTCTCAGGTGCAAAACTATTGAAACCAAATCACAATCTTAATTCATAGGTTTGTAGAGAATTTATTAAGCTCTAATTAGAGCTCAATTACACTGGAATCGGATCAAAATTAACAGAGCTGTGAGGCAAAAACTGTCTTAGTGTCATTTTTGGAAAATATTCAATGTTTGATAAATTCAATTTTGAAGCTTCTCAGGTACAAAAGTGTTGAAGCCAAATTAAAATCTTAATCAATAGATTTATAGAGAATTTATTTGGCTTTAATAAAAGTCTAATTGCGTTGAAATTGGATAAAAATTAAAAAAGCTGTGAGGCAAAAACTGTTTCAGTGTCATTTTTGGAAAATATTCAATGTTTGATAAATTCAATTTCGAAGCTTCTCAGCTGCAAAACTTTTGAAACCAAATTAAAATCTTAATTAATGGGTTTGTAGAGAATTTAATTGGCTTCAATTAGAGCTCAATTACACTGAAATCGAATGAAAATTAACGGAGTTGTGAGGCAAAAACTGTCTCAGTGTCATTTTTGGAAAATATTCAATGTTTGATAAATTCAACTTTGAAGCTTCTCAGATGCCAAACTGTTGGAACCAAATCAAAATCTTAATTGATAGGTTTGTAGACAATTTAATGGGCTTTAATTAAAGCTTATTTACATTGAAATCGGGTGGAAATTAACAGAGCTGTGAGGCAAAAGCTGTTTCAGTGTCATTTTTGGAAAATTTTCAATGATCAATAAATTCAATTTTGACGCTTCTCAGCTGCAAAACCGTTGAAACCAAATTAAAATTGTAATTAGAAGGTTTGTAGAGAATTTAATTGGCTTTAATTAGAGCCCAATTACATTGAAATTGGATGAAAATTAACAGAGCTGTGCCTCACAGCCTGTGAGGCTGTCTCAGTGTCATTTTTGGAAAATTCTCAATTGAAGCTTCTCAGGTGCAAAACTGTTGAAACAAATATACAATTTTGTCTAACTAAGTAAACACAAAAACCCAACAAAATTACAAAAACTACCACAATAACCTGCAAAAACCTAAAAACCCAATAGAAATTTTCAAAAGCTTAGGCTTTTGTCGAGGGTTTTCTCAACCCTAGAAAAGGAGTGAAAAATTAGAAAAAAAAAATATCCAAACAAGGATAAATAAATTGGCTTCTAAATCCTAGGGGAAAAATTCACATAAAAAAACATGAGAAATGGAAAGAAAACAAAAAGAGAACTAAGTAGAGTGAAAAGAAAAAAAAAAAATGAGTCAAGGAGAAAAAAAGTGAGAAGTAGGAGTGCAACATTTAAAAAATGATATTGAAATAGGGAAAAAAAGGGTAGAGGTAGATAAGTCTGCCTCCAAGAGCCTGGAATAAACAAAAATTCATACAAAAAACATGAGAAATGGAATGACAACAAAAAGTGAAATCAAGAGAGAAATAGAGTGGAGAAGAAACAAAATGAGCCAAGGAGAAACAAAGTCAAAAATAGGTAGAGTGGAAAATTTAAAAAATTATATTGAAATAGGGGGAAAAAGGTTAGATAAACTGTCACCAAGAGCCTGGAATAAACAAAAGTTTATACAAAAAACATGAGAAATAGAATGACTCGACAACAAAAAGAGAAATCAACAGAGAAATAGAGTGGAAAAGAAACAAAATGGGCCAAGGAGAAACAAAGTGAGAAATAGATAAAGTGGAAAATTTTAAAAATTATATTGAAATAGGGGGAAAAAAGGGTAGATAAACTGCCTCCAAGAGCCTGGAATAAACAAAAATGTATACAAAAATCATGAGAAATAGAATCACAACAAAAAGAGAAATAGAGTGGAAAAGAAACAAAATGAGCCAAGGAAAAAAAAATTGAGAAATAAGTAGAGTGGGAGATTTCAAAAATGATAATGAAATAGGGAAAAAAAGGGTTAATAAACTGCCTTTAAGAGCCTGGAATAAAAAACTAAAATTTATACAAAAAACATGAGAAATGGAATGGAAACAAAAAGAGAAATCAAAAGAGAAATGAGAGTAGAAAAGACACCAAATGAGCCAAGGAGAAACCAAGTGAGAAATAGTTAGAGTCTCGGGTAGAGTGGAAAATTTAAAAAATTATATTGAAATAGGGAAAAAAAAGGGTAAATAAACTGCCTGCAAGAGCCTGGAATAAACCAAAACTCATACAAAAAACATGAGAAACGGAATGACAACAAAAAGGGAAATCAAGAGAGAAATAGAGTGGAGAAGAAACAAAATGAGCCAAGGAGAAACAAAGTGAAAAATAGGTAGAGTGGAAAATTTTAAAAATGATATTGAAATAGGGGGAAAAAAAGAGTAGATAAACTGCCTTCAAGAGCCTGGAACAAACAAAAATGTATACAAAAAACATGTGAAATAGAATCACAAAAAAAAGAGAAATCAAGAGAGAAATAGAGTGAAAAAGAAACAAAATGAGCCAAGGAGAAAAAAAGTGAGAAATAAGTAGAGTGGGAAATTTCAAAAACTCGTTCAAAAATGTTAATGAAATAGGGAAAAAAAGGGTAAATAAACTGCCTTCAAGAGCCTGGAATAAAAAACTAAAATTTATACAAAAAACATGAGAAATGGAATGAAACGAAAAGAGAAATCAAAAGAGAAATAATAATAATAATAATAATAATAAAAGGACTTTATTAAAAAATTGAAAAAAAATACAGATACAATAAGTTGAATACATAATTTTAAGTAAGGTTGGTATAAAGAACGGGTTGCTACCCCGTGGCGAAGTCTAGCACCAGGAGCTATTTTTACTCAACCACAAAGTAGGCCCATTACTTTATGTAAAATAAAACAGGTGTTCCCAAATGGTACCGCACCAATTAAAAAAATTCCATTTTTGTTGTTTTATTAGTTGTTTTTTTCTTGCTCTTCCATGCATCGACCATCCCACAGCACATTTCACTATCACTTCAGTCTATCTTTTTCTTTATCTATTATTATGGGATTGAATAGAAAACAGAAACTGCCGGTATTTAATCTTAAATTGATGTACATTTAGTTGTTTTAATTCATCTAGAGTCTCATTATACAATTTAATGGCATTGTAAATGCAGCTCCTTTGATACACACAAGTTCTGAAACGAGGGACCTGATACTGTTTTTTGTGTCTAATGTTTACATTATGAAGAGTGGACCGAGGAATAAATTTATTTTTTAGAATTTTAGATGAGCTATCCGTTGTTAGAACACAATGGACAAAGTTGGCGAGGTGGTGTTTCCTACGGTTTTCCATATTTAGCCAAGAGGCATCTGTCACTTTCTGGGAAATTCTGTCAAACTTCTTTAGACCGTAAATCAGTCTACAACAGTTATTTTGCATTTTTTGTATTCTGAATTTATCGTTGCTGTAAAGGCAGTTGCTATAAAGAAAATCACAGTAGTTATAGTTTGACAGAACCAGGCTTTCACAAAGATTTTTTTTAAGTTTTAAGTCCAAAATATGTCTATTTGAATATAAGAGTTTAAGAGAACAGAATGCTTTTCTGCTTATAT